GCCATGTATGAAAAAGAGAGATAACACAGGAGTGACAATGGCAGTAGAAGAGAAGATGAGAAGGGAGGAGAGTAGAATTGTATGCGTAGCCAGGAAAGTGTGGCTAGCACAAATAATATCGTGAACCAAATGAGACAAAAATTATGTAATTTTTAATAAAAATAAATAGCAGCGCGCACCACGGCAACCGGTGCGATCATGCGTTTTGTGCAATTTCGCTCACCGAACGACTGCCTGCTAATGATTTTCACTGTTTTGCACTTTAGTCTGCGCAAAAATAGTTGAAATGTTGTCTGGTTCTTAAGATGCGGAATTTCCCACTAGAAATTTCACGCACACGAGATAATAACTTCTCTGTCAAAAATTTCACGGCGCTGTACGTGGTACCCAGGGGTGCGCGAAGGCTGAATCCAAATTTGCGAGGTCATAAGTTTGTAGAGCAGACCATCTTAAAATTTCTGATTCTCAACTTCCGCGGTCCCCGAGATAATAGTTTTCCCCGCCGAAACTTCCACTGGGCCGTAAGTGATACCTGGATACGCAGGGAGCTGAATTTAAAATTGCAGGATTGTATGTGGACAGAAGACATTACCACAAAATTTCAGCTTCCTGGCTTTTATGGTTCCCGGAATAATAATCCTCCCGCAAAAACCTTCACGAGGCCGTAGCTGATACCCGTGAACGCGGGAAGGATGAATTTGAAAAGGCAAAACTAAGCGTGGGCAGAGGGTCATTACCCTAAAATTTCAGATTCCTGGACTCCGTGGTTCCCGAGATAATAATTTACCCGTCAAAAATTTTCACGGGGCCGTATATGTTACCCACGGGCAGGGGAAAGCTGAATTTAGATTTTCTGGGTAGCACATGGGCGGAGAGTATGCCCACAAAATTTCAGCCTTCTAGCTTCCGTGGCGCTCGTGATAATAATTTTACCTGCCCAAAAAAATTTTACGTACCTGTTACCCGCGGGCACAGGGAGGCTGAATTTAAAATTGCGGGGTCGCACGTGACAGGGCCGTACGCGTTACCCGCGGGTACGGGGAAGCTGAATTTAAATTTGCGGGGTCACACGTGGTTAAAAAACTTTCACAGGGCCGTACGCGTTACCCGCGGGTACGGGGAAGATGAATTTAAATTTGCGGAGTCACACGTGGGTTTCCCCTAAATTTTCAGCTTCCTAGCTTTTGTGGTTCCCGAGTTGAAAGTTGCGGACAAGTTGCTGTGGAAACACACACACAGACAGCCCCGTGACAATACGCGTTTTGTACTGCTGTTACACAGCACAAAACGCATAAAAATTGAATAATTTGAGCCAGATC